CCATCCCCCCCCCCGACCCGAACACGCGATCGATGCGGTTCTCCCGGTCCCACACGCACCGCCCGCGGTAGCGGATCCGCACGATGCGGTGTTCGGGCACCGCCAGGTCCGCGGGTCCCGCGTCGCACAGCGGCCCCGTGAAGAACTCCAGCAGCGGCCGCTCCACGACGCCCACGAAGCGGTCGCGATACTCCACGCTGGCGGCCGCGGGATCCGCTCGTGGGTCCCAGCGGAGGCGGCTGAGGACGGCGGCGGCGCGGCGCAGCGGCGGCTTCTTCCCCGCCGCTCCCGGTTCCTCCCGGCTCGCTGCCGGTTCCGGGCCGGCGGTCGGACTCTGCCCCGGATGCGGGTGGCGGCAGCGCGGACCGAAACGGCAGCGGCCCTCCAAGAACCAACGGCACGGGGCGGGCGCCGGGGCCGGAACCGGTTCCGCGGGACCGGGACGCCGATTCGGTTCCGTGTCTTCGGGATCGCGATTCGGGTCGGGCTCCGCGTCCGCCGGTTCGGGCCGCGGGTCCGGGGCCGCGTTCGGGTCTGGTTCCGCGAGTCCGGAGCGCGGCTCCGGTACCGGCTGCGGGGATGCGAGCCGCGGGTCCGCGTCCATGGGTCCGCGGTGCGGGTCCGGGTGTGGCTGCGGGGCCGTGAGTCCGGGTTCGGAAGTGGGTCCGTTCCGTGGGTGCGGAGCGGAACCGGGCGCGGCGCGGGCAAAGAGCGGCGCGGGGCCGGGACACAAAGGGGGCGGGGCTGACGGCACGAAGGGGGCGGGGCTCAGGGAGGGGGGCGTGGCCGGATTAAGAGCAACACCGTGTTGGGGGCGTGGCTAAGAGGGAGGGGCGTGGCTTGGCCAATAGGAGACGGGCGGGGTACAAGAGGGGGGCGTGGTCAGGAATGCTAGGGGGCGTGGCCAAGCATGGGGGCGTGGTTTATATTGGGCCGTCCGGGGGGCGTGGCCAGGGTGTGTCGCGGGGCGTGGCCAAGGAGCGGAATTGGTGCCGATGGGCGTCAGGCTGTGTTTCAGCTACACGGGCATCAATGCGCTCATTTACATCTCGCTCATCCCCCGATGGTCCGTGGCACCATTTATTGCTCTTTTCACCTCCAGTTTTCCTCACTGCACCGGGTCAAATGCACTCATCTCTTTTCAATTTCAATTATGTTTTCTTCCCTTCCCTCTTT